GCCCCTCGCTACCCTTCGGTCGCGTCGTGGCTCACGCTAGCCCTAAATCGTCGTTCATGCCATGAGCGTTCACGCGAGCAAAGGGTTGTCGTCCTCAATGAATCAGGACACCCGAGAGGGTCGTTGGTCCTTCGTTCTGAGACAGGAGCCTTCCTGTAATTTCGGAACTTAATGCATCCGCCCTTCGTGTCGCTTCTGATAGTGCCTTGGCGAAGGCGGTGCTGTGATTTAAGCAACTCGCAGAGAAATTTCGCGTGGAGGGCGATAGAAGGAAAGATCCGGAGGAGAAGGAATCCGTAAATTTACGCGACGCCGCAAACGCCCGTTACAATTCAAGACCTGCAGGAAACAACGCTTAGCTTTCATCGGTGTCAATTGGCGCGAACTTGTGGCCGATTTAATCTTCTTTCAGTAGAAGCAGATAGACAATGAGTGGAATCGTGATCAAAAACTGATCAACGTTGGCAAGAAGATAGAGAAAGCTCGTCCCTCGAGTCCACTTTCCTTATAAAAAAACTTAATTTTTAATAAACAGTTATTGATACATTATAAATATGAATTGAATATTACAATCTTAGTTGGGATGGTAATTTTCACATAAATTTTTAATCACATTAATATTTTATAATATTTTATTTAATATCATTATTATTATTATAATGATAGTAAGTACCTCCTAATAATTAAATTGATAATTAATTTAATTATTATTTCAGCTTCAATTTATGATTGCATTTCAAATTTAAAATTTAACTGATAGTAATTAGTGCGCGATTTAAATAACTGAAAGATGTATTTTGTATTTATACGTAAATATTATTAGGCCCCAAGATCTAGTCTTGACTGTATTTGATTTTCTTTATTTATTTGAATTTTTTTAACTCTAGTCGATCATTGCCATTGCAGGTGTGGTTTCAAAATCGAAGAGCAAAGTGGCGGAAGAAGGAACATACGAAGAAGGGCCCCGGTAGGCCGGCGCATAATGCTCATCCGCAAAGCTGCAGTGGCGAACCAATCCCACCCGAGGAACTAAGACGGAAAGAGCGTGAAAGGCGACAGAAGAAGCTGCTGAAAGCTCTCGAGAGACAACAGCGGAAGCTCGCTGCTAAAGTAAGCCCCAAACTTAAATATTCTCTCTCAATTTAAAAATTTCAAAATACTTATGTTACCGTTTATTAATATCTTCTCATGAACACATTAATTTTCTTTTTAGAAAAAAAGAATGTTTGTCTTTGCTTATCAAAATAATTATATCTCATGATTACCGAAACTATATACTTTTTAAGGGGAACGATGATAACGGCTACAGATTGGGAAATTTTTTTACAGAATTAAAATACACATAAATAGAAAATCCGAGTACATCAATTTTACAGGAAAATCGCATAAAAAAATAAAAAATTCACTTTTGACTCATTCCAGAAAGCACAAAATTATTTAAAAGATGATTAAAAGATAACTAAATGTTTAAAAGATAACTAAATATATCTTTTGAGAGAATATACAATCGATGGAAAGGTGACTAAAAGGCAACAGATGTTGTAACATGTAATTTTACAATAAAAATGATTACGCATTACATATATATTTTAGAAACTCCTTTACAATGCACTTTTACTTTCTACAACATAAACATTTATTGTTTCTATATGTATAATATCACCATATATATGCATTTAGCACAAACTAATCAAACTAGATTTTGATATAATAGCTTTATTTCTAAATGTCGATTGTATCTAGCAAGTTATATAATTAAACAATAGTTTTGTAACACGGATTCCTTCATTTTCTTAACTTCAGGGTATAACAGTGGATTTATCGACATTACGTGCCGAATGGGAATCTCGTAGTGAGGCGGCATCGGGTCGCAATTCTGCGAGCGGTCCTCTGAGCAATTCGTTCGGCCAACTGGGTCTGAGCAATGACAGTAACAACATATCCGCGTCCGGTAACGACGCTAACGAAGAGATCGACGTGGTCGGCGGACTGGACTCCTGTAGTGAGAGTGACAGCGAGCGAGTGGACTCGGCGGCCGACGGCTCCGTAGACGGCGAATGTTTCCCGGCGCTCAACAGTAACGCGAGCGAGATCAGCGAGCCCCGAAAGAATCCTCCGCAGAATCCGCCAATGGAGCATCTGAACCACCAACCCGGTATCCACCACTGGGGCTTAAGCCTGCTAGAACGACGACGCGAGCTGGTGGGAATCGGAGCTGGGCGTCCACCGACCGGTAATGGCGCTAGGAATTTAATCAGGCAGGTCGCTAATGAGGAGGAAGTCCAAAGCGGCAGCATCGATCTCTCGGTAAAGGGTAGGGAGGAGAGGAAGAGGCTGAATCCGTTCTCCATCGACAGTCTATTGGGGAACAATCGGACTAGTGCATCGGATCGTAGGCCGGCGACGCCGACGTCGCCGACGTCTCCCGTTTCATCGGCTTGCACATCGCCCTCTACGACGTAGTGAATAGGAGCGTGGAAAGATACCGAGATGCGTCGGATTAAAAATTGACGAGCAGAAGAACGTGATCAAAGAGATGGGGTAACTCCTCGTCGAGATTACCAGTGACGGTGAAGTGACCATGTCGGATGAATGAAGACTGAAGCGTGCAAAGCGGAACTGGTACTCCTGATCATGAAATTGCGTGGAAGAATCAGCTACGGTAACATTCCCGTTTCTACCAGAGTTCGCTTTGATTGAAATCGCTAGGTTTATGAATAATCCTCGCGTATATAAACATTCTCATGTCCATCGATGAACGCGCGTCTAGATTCTTGATATCCTGAGATCTCTGAGAGTATGCATATGAATTTAAAGTCAAAAATAATCGAAGAAAGGAAGAAACATTTTAAGTATAGGCAAATTGAGTATTAAAGGGATGAAAAAATTCACAGGTTATCACAAGTACATGTAGATCGCAAGTACATGTAGATCGCAATAAATTACGCATATAATTCTCTTTGGATCTAGAAGGATTTTAGAATCTAAATTTCGCGCTATCGGTACGGACCGGCAAGACTTATATCAGTTCGACATATCGAATGCATGCGTGACCGTAGATCGAGTGCGTTTGATTTTGTCCATTGTGTCTCCTTTCAAAGAACAAATGGAAAAATGTGCAATAAACGCGGACTTTGCTCGCTAGGCGGCTTGTCCGTTTTGATGTAAGGCAAAAGCGAGAAAGAGAAAAAAAATCGAAAAAGAGAGTGCATGTGTGGGAATAAAAGAGAAAAAGAGAGAAAGAGAACTAGAGAGAAAATGGGTGTGTGTGTGTATATGTGTTGTGTGTTTGTGTGTGTGTTTGTGCATATACGCGTGTATTTAATGTAAATAGTGGGAAGGAGGTTCGTTTTATTTAATTTTTCAGTAGTCGATACCCCAGTGTTCGTCGATCGCGGATATTATTTAAAGCAATAGGGCGGGGGTTCTCAACTTATTATACACTTGCGATCGGTTCGATAAAAATTACCAGAGCAAGCACTCGTTAATGCTTAGAGTTCTAGATAATCAGAGAGGCGACATTAAAGGGATGACCTGACGTCTGTCTAAAGAGTATGATTTAATTGATAATCATAGTAAGAAAACAATATTCCAGTAAGCAAGAAACAAATTGGAATATTGCAGCAACATTGCAGGAACGTTGTAATGTTGCTATAATGTTGTTGGAATGTTCCAAAATATTTCTTGTTTATTAGGATGGCACTTTGATCATATAATTTAGTCAGCCAATCAATATCCATATTGGAACAAAAGGGCCGAGACAAACTAATTTAATTAACTCAACCTGTCACCCTCTAATAATTTACAACTCTAATTAATACGATTTGAATTTTTATAGGGGAGATAGACTGGTCAAATCGAATAACTTTTTTTAACGTTTTATTTGTAGTAACGCAGTAATTAAACAAATATCAACGACATCGATTAATTTGACAAAGAGATTAAAGTAAATGACGATAAAACGAAGATAAAACACTATTGAGGACCTCTGCGATAAAAATTTGTTTGACGTTGTATATAAACTTTAAAGAACCCCTAAACGAGCGTGAGTACGCACAGTTCAAAGACTGTTCTCTCATCCCTGTAAGCAAGGTTGATCTATGAGCTCGGTTTATAGTTAGGGGTGATTAAGAGTTGCCATACGATGATCCGGGATATGCGAAAAATCAGTACCTATCATATATCCATTAAAAATATATTAATTTATTCTCCCGATCATGCTGGCGTTTAGTCATTGCATCCCTTCGCACATTGTCCCATCCCCCCCCCCCCCCCCCCGTTCTTTTTTATGAAGAAAGCGTGGCAGGATATGAAACGGCCAAGGCAACGTAAGTATAAAACTAAATTAATTTAAGCTTATTATTATTAAGAACTTTTCTTATTAAAAAATTTCCTTCCTTCCTTAAAATTATCTTCCTACAAGACATATTTCTTCTTATCTTTTAATTATATTATAATATAATTAAATAATTTAGGACAAATCAATCAATTCAGTTAAACTGAAATCAATCAATTAATCTAATGAATTAGAATATAAACATAATTAGTGTCAAGTTAGATCAAGCCTTATCAACAGTTCTAATCGTTGAAATTTATTGTTAATTGGAAATTAAAACGACAGATACGAAACATCCAATTTTCACTAGGCAAAAGTCAATTCCAAGTTAACCGAAGAATAAATCGCATTTGCAGCACGGATATTTATGTAAATTTACACGATTTATACTCGCCACAAGTTCGGGACGATTTTGCTGAAAGTCGAGAGCTTTTGTTCGTTTAACATCAATGCGAGGGGAAAGAGACCGGTGGAATAATAACGATGTACGACAATGTGGTCGCTGTCGACGTCGCGTGGTGAACAATGAGCCGCACATAAATCATAGACATAGCGTAACATCGCTTCCGCTGTCATATTGCAATTGCAACGCTATTTATATTCGGCACTGTTAAAAATATCGCAACCGCCAATTTCTAAGCATTTCTGAACGAACTTTCCAAATATTTTCAATGAGATCTCACACAATCAGTTATACCGCTCGCTTCAATTTTAAATTCTGTATTTCTGCAAAAAATTGAAAAGATTACAAGATAAAGACATGAATTAATATTGTTAATTAATTATCATAAATTAGAAATTTATGATCCAAAAATGTTTTTTTTTAAGTATTATATAGTAAGTGTATTATAATAATAATTTGAAATATCGAGAATCGATTTCCTTGATTCTTAGAAAAGAATGTACGAGAAAGTATTTATTAAATAATTAATTTCTTTAAGTAAATTCGCAATTATAAGGAGAGAGAGCGATCATTACTTCAAAGTAGCATTTCCACTTTAGCGAAAAGAAATCGACGGCTGTTACGAAAACGATGAAAAAGAAAGTAAGAAAGGAAGGAGGGACGATGTAGTACATGATAATATGCGTCGCGCGAAGACAATAATGCGCGTCGCCGCTCGCGATTTATGTTACGAGCATTTACGCGAGCGCGCGCTCGCAAGCGCTCGCAAGCGACCGGACGTCTCCACAAAGGGCCATTGTGCGAATGCGATGTGGCGCGGTTAATATTATTAGCCGTCCGCGAGGAGCAGCGCTTAAACGGCCGATGCTTTCTGCCATCGCCCTCGCCTGAGGACTCTATTACCGGCCAATCCTCGCGGCACAGCGACTGCCTCCTTTTCCTCGTTCACCGGCCCATTGTCGCCGAGCACGAACGGCATTACGTGCCCCCCTCGGTCTAGTGAAGCCCTAAGCGGCGCTTCCCGATCGTCGATGATGATCGTAATATCCCAGAACATCCAGGAAAAATGCGATCCAACATTCCATTATTGTTAGCTGTGTATGTGAAACTAAATTAAAGAAACTAAAAAATATTTAATTTATATTTCTTACAAAGAAATTAGATTTCTTATAAAGAATTCACATTTCTTACAAAAGATCTAAATTTCTCATATTCCTTGATAAATATGTTGTTGAATGTTATGAGTTTAATCCTATTTATTCGAATTTTATTTTAGCTCAAAAATTTTGTGCTCTGTCCCTAATCTTATAGAATAAAAATAATTATTATTATATAACCGGTTAAATGGAGTATGCTTAATGAGTATCCATAAGAGAGAGAAAAATTAATTTTGGAAAAGAAGAGAATTGGAGATAAAAATTTTAAAAAGATTTTCTGAGAATCAAAGATAATCAGTATTTAAGCGTTTTCAGTTTGAAAAATCAATTTCCAATTTTAAAAGAAAGAAAAATAAATTATTAAATTAAATATAAAGGATTTTGTGATTTTTTTTTTACCTGCTAATAATTAATTAAAAATAATAATATAAAATAAAACAAATCTAATAATCCATATCACTCGATTACTATCTCCGTCCGGATTCAAACGCTAATTTAGCCTCACCCCTCTTAAATAAAATTCTGGCTACGCCTTATATATATTTTATGCATCAGCTAAACTTTCCTATTTAGAACCCAGAACGATTTTTATTGTTTGAAATTTTTAATGTGAGTATAGGAACTCTTGTTTCTTAGCGCAATCCAATGGTACGATTGTATTCGTTTCTTATATGCACATTCCGATTTTGTAAAAAACATAATGATTCATTCGTGTCATTATATAGATTTCTCTAACCGTGAGCCGTGAAAAATTGCGTTGATAATTGTAATAAAGTTGTTTAAACTCGTTTAACTTTGTTCGCTAGTCTATACGAGAATTTTAGACGTT